CGAGACCCCATCTCTACTAAAAATGGAAAAAATTAGCCGGACGTGGTGGTGCGCACCTATAGTCCCAGCTACTTGGGAGGCTGAGGCAGGAGGATCACTTGAGCCCAGGAGTTCGAGGTTGCAGTGAGCTAGGGTGACGCCATGGCACTCATGCTGGGGAAGAGTGAGACTCTGTCTCAAAAAAAAAAAAAAGAAAAACTTTTTATATCCAGTAACCCACTGAAATTTGTTGTTAATTCTATTGGTATTTCTGTAGATTTTCTTGGCTCTTCTATTAAATACATAGGCAATTCTATCATCTGCATATAATTTTTTCCCAATCTTCCTTCCAATCTTTATGACTTGCGATATTTTGGCTAGAACTTCTGTTATAATGTTAAATGATTGTAGTGTAGTCTTGTTACTGACGTCAGTGGGAAAGCTTTTAAAATTTCATACTTGGGTATAAATCTCTGCAGAAATGTTTTACCAAGTTAAAGACGTTACTTCCAGATTCGTTAGGGGTGTTTTCATTTGTTCAATTTTGGTAGTGGTGGTGGTTATTAGTGCTTTTAGCATCCACTTTCTCAGATTTTTTCTCTCCTTTCTTGGGCAGGGGCAAGCCTACTTATTGAGTTCATGAATCAGCAGATGGAGTTTTTCTAGTCCGGTTTTATAAATGGAATAGTTCCTCCTACCTTGAGGCTTCATGCAGGCAGCTGATTACGTAGGATTATGTGACCCAGAGTTTATCCTCTACTTGCATCTCTTCCTCCCTCCCTCCCCCTGCCACCCCTTAGTAATATTGAGCTGTAGCTACCACTTGGCCATTGACTTCGAGTTTCTTATTTGTTTCTGGTACCTAGAGATTTCCCTTGTTTGGCTTTGAACTTAGATATACATTTAGAATTTATTTTTTCTAGAATTTTTGTGTCTTTGAAGTAGGAGTAGGGAAGGGGGGGACTGTTTCTCATTTTAGCTCAGTGAGCCCAATTGAATGGACATCTATCACTTCTTTAAATCCTAAAATTCCTCATACCAAATTTACTTAGAATGTTTTACTCATTCAGATATTCTACATAACAGCACTGTTCAATAGGACTTTCTGCAGTGATAAAAATACTCTGTCTCTGCTGTCCAATATGAGAGCCACTTGCCACATGTGGCTATTAAGCACTTGAAATGTGTCTAGTGTGTTCAAGAAACTGAATTTGAAATTTTACTTCATTATTATTTTAATCTAAATGGTTACATATGGCTAGTGGCTACTATATTAACACAGTTCTATACTAAATAAAAAGAGATG